AACTAAACTTAAAGTATAAATTTGGCGGCGAAAACCGTGATCAAGTATTTGCTGCGCAAAAATCCGGTATAGCGTTTGGTTTGGACGCTGAAACAGGAAAAACTATCTGGGTTAACCAAGTTGCTCCTGGTTCGAATGGCGGCGGAATGAAATTCGGCTCTGCAGCTGATGATCAGTATCTCTATGTCGGCAATATGAATGCTGGTAGTTTAAATTATACATTGCCAAATGGAACTATCACAACAAAAGCAAGTTGGTCTGCTGTAGATCTAGTTACTGGTGATATTAAATGGACTGCCGTTGATCCTACAACAGGTATAAATAAAACAAGCGCTAATCTTGCATTGACTGTTTGGGATCAACTTGTCCTAGTTCAAGGTGGAAGTTATTCAGGAGAAACAAGAAGTCCAATTAAAGGATGTCTTTATGGGCTGAACAAGACGAATGGTGAAGTTCTGTATGAATGGTGTATTGAAAATACGCCTCTTGGTAGCGGTGCATCTGTTGCCAATAATACTATTTATGTGGGAATTGGATATGCAAGACTAAGACCAGGAATAGATGGTATAGTTGCATTACAATTACCTTCGACACCTTGAGATCAAAGTTGTTGCTCTTCAGTCTGTTTTCATCTTCTTTCGACTTTTTTAACTGTTGTGTTAGTCGTAATTTTAATCAATATTCTTCATCTCAATAATCCCTTTTTTTGGTCCTAATTATAAAAATCATCTTTATTTCCTATTCTTTATAAAATTGTGAATGCATGGTGAACCAGAATTATGATTTCAACCAGCATTTTTAATAAATTTTATAATAAATTGAAGCGTATCGAAAATGGGTTTTATATGTGTTAGAATGAATTTAATAGATAATTCCAAGGGACTTACGACCATCGTTATCATGTTTGCTTAAGGCACTTGACGGGTAAGTTCGGAATTGGATAGCTGTATAAGAATAAATCTTCACCCTTATCCGCCATCCTGAGGTTCATGAATTGTTTTCTAGATAGGGTGTGGTTGATGAAAGAGAAGACACTCACACCATTAAATCAGCTAGAAAATATTTTAGAGTTATCTTTGAAGAACCTTTAATATACAATGAATATAGATTCGGTGCTTGTTTGAATAAGATTCTTATATCAAATTGATTTGTGTAGTCAGCAGTCCGTTGAACATTAAGTGAAATCAGTTGATCAAGGATGTGGGTGTGGGTGTGGGTGTGAGTGTGAGCGAGAGTGGGTGTGTGTGTGGGTGACACTAATCCTTTATTCAATCCACCCTCACACCCACAGCCTCATCCACGAACACCCACACACCCACTCTCAAGATGGGAGGTGCTGCCCTTTTGTGATTTCAGTTAATCAGTAGAGTTTCCCTATATGCGTGTGCACACATGTATTGTTTATTTCATAGCTTTCTCTTTGTTATAGAAAAATGAATAAATGCGACTTATTATCTCCTTTTTACACGTCGAAGATTGTTTACACGGTGAAGATTGCTTCTCATTTGATGAGACCAAGGATGATTTGAAGGTAGTGATTGTTGTGCAGTTTGTACAGCTCGTTCAAAAAATGAATGGGCTTCTGAGTAATTTTGCATGTTTTCATATAGTAAACCGATGTTGTTATAAGATAAAACCAAATCAGGATGATTTGAAGGAAGTGATTGTTGTTTGATTGCAAGAGCCTTTTCATAGTATGGAAGTGCTTTTGAATAATTACGCGTATTGGAATACACCGAACCAATGTTGTTGTAAGATGTAGCCAAATGAGGATGATTTGGAGGAAGAGTTTTCTCTTTAATAGCTAGCGATTTTTCATAATATGAAAGTGCTTTTGAATAGCTATTTGTGTTGGCATGTACCAAACCGATGTTGTTGTACGACATAGCCAAATCAAGATGATTTGAAGGAAGTGATTGCTGTCGAATTGCAAGAGCTTTTTCATGAGATGAAAGTGCTTTTGAATAGTTGCGTACGTTGAAAAACACCACACCCATGTCGTTGTATGATACAGCGAATTGAAAATGATTAGGAGGAAGAGTTTTCTCTTTAATAGCTAGCGATTTTTCATAGTATTTAATTGCCTCTTGATATTCTGCTTGTTTATTTTTGATCCAGCCAAGTCGATGATAAAGTGCTGCTTTTTGACTCTCCTCCATTTTTTGATCAAGTAACATTTTATAAATCTCTTCAGCTTTGACAAATTGACCCATGTTCTCTAATGCGAAACCTAATCTTGCCCAGCCCTCTTCGTCTGGAAAACTCTCTTCTCGTATGCGCTCAGTAAGTGCATTTAATTGTTCGTCCTTATCACTAGTAAGAGTCAAACTCACTTCAAAGAGTTTGCTATTTCCATCCATTGGTTTAATATCGTGAATTCGAAACACACTGTGCATAGAAAACAACACTTCATCTTCAACTGAAATAGCACTAATGTCACTAATTAAAGCAAATGGTGTTGTTGATTGATTCGGATCAATTATCATCACGAAAAGAATTCCAACTAAATCTCGATTGCTCGCAGCGCATTGAGCAAAACTAAGTGAAACTTTTCGAATTTTGCTGGTAGATAAGAAACTGTTAAATGACACTAATCCACCCTTTGCTTGCTTTAGTTGTTCAAAATGTGCCTGCGATAGAGCTTGCCCACGGTAAACTGTAAAGATTTCAGTAATTTGTTGTTCTATGTGTAATTTTTTAATCTGTTCATGTAAATCATTAATGAAGAAGCCCATTCTTGTCATTATATTACCATCCATCATGCGTATTCCACGATTAAGCATGGGATACAAGAAGGTCTCACAGGTGTACCACCAGATTGGTGTTTTATCATGATATTCCCCTTCGAGTTGTTTAATATTGTTCAGCTCCACTTTATTATTAGCAAAAATTTCGCGACAACAGTTCAAATAATCTTGAATATGATTGTCGTCGAATTTGATGGTAGATAAGATCTCTTTCAAGATTTGTGTATACATAAAAGATGAGTCTAGTTGATCCAATTTTTTGTCAGATGGCACAAAACTCATCGATATAGCATTTTGTTCACATTGTTGAGCTGCTTGTTTGAGAGCTTTACACATAGGTTTAATTTCAGTGAAAACTCCTTTGATTTTAGACCATTGTTTAGCCCATTGTTCATGATGGTTTTTATTACCACAAAAAATAAAAATAGAGTCTACTTCAGATATATCTTGTAGACGAGGTGCAATTTGTTCACCAAGATATCCTGAAATTATCATGCACACCTTATGATCTTTGATAGTTTTGAGGAATTCAATGCATTGATCACTATCAGTGTATATACTAACAGCATTCATAACATGTTGCAATTCGACGGTAATGTTCTGACAATCTTCATTAGTCTCATCAATGCTGCTATCTAACCAAATAAGAAGAACATTTTGCGTTCTTTGAATATTTAGACGTTGATAATCAAATCGTTCTTTTGAAGCTTCATCTGTTTGTTCAGCTGTTTTGAGACTGCTCGCCATTGATTTTGTTTGCTTTGTTGTTGAGTATTGTAGGTATCGTAAAGCTTGATCAACTTAAAAAGTGATTAATAATAGAATGATGAAAATTTCTGCACTTTTTCAGGTCTTTTTTTCTTTTCTTTTCTCTTGTTGACGTGTCAACAGTTGCCAACAATATATGACGAAGGAAAAGTCTTTGAGTAAAATATTGTTATGGTTGAGAGTCCATTAACGACACGTTGCATAGATGAAGATAGGCAATTGCCTCCTCTGATATTTCTGTATTTCACGTTCATATAAACTGCTATGTTCCTTTCTTAAAACTTCTTAATCATGTGTCCGCCATCTATCTTATTCAAGAAATTCAGAAAGAAGGTCGGTTGGCACTAATTGATTGGATGAAAAGAAAAACTATTCTGTTGCTTTTCCGTTAAACGAGACAAGATATCTTAACCAATTTTCGCTCCTTTTTTATTTTGTTCAAATACCTATATTTGAGGGTTTGGGTATGAATATTATACTTAGCTTACGCTAACTCACACCCACACCCTCAAGATGGTATTTCCTATAAGACGATCATGTTTTTGTTTATAAAATTTTCCATTCCTTTGACAATAACTGTTGCTTAGTAAAGTTATTACGATTTTTTCAGCTCGGTTATGGTCAGATTCAATGTACAATATTCTTCCGAATAATCGATTTTGTTTACTACAATATCCACTACTCTTTTTAGAGATATGTTTGTAAAAACATCTTGGATATCTGAACTAATAGGTTTGCCATCTTTTTCTATTTTGATGTGTTGCATATAGTCTATTTCAAGTTTTCTCTTGATTATTTTCATAAATGAGAATGTAAATTTAATAAATAGTGAAATATTTGTATTTCTAGTAAGTATGATTAATATCACCGATTGTACTATTTTTTGTTGTTTTCCTTTATCTCTAAATCTTGATAAACTACCAATATACGTAAATTCTTTTTAAATTTCAATAAATTTTCAGAAAGTGTTGGATCTGTTACTTCTTCATATACTTTATTTTTTCTTGAGTTTCATCCATAACTACTATCTTTCCGCCTTTATCAGCTATGTTTAATGAATTCTTTTGTTTTTGTTATTATATTAATGTGAATTTTAGTTCTTTTGAAAGGAGATTGAATTGGTCTTCTATTAATATAACATTTGATGTGTATATATTTCATGTTGATTTATTCATCTAGAATAAATCATTTTTTCTTTGTTCTCTTCAAAACATTCTATAATCAATCGTTAGATAGAAATAAATGAAGAAACAATCATTCTGATGTGTATTCAAACATTCTCATCATTTTCTTTAGAAGCTTTTTTTCTTTATCAAACAACACAGGAAACACAGTTCCGCTTTTGTAAAACAAAAATTGTAAAGGAAGTTTTTCTCAAAGAAAAGAGTGAGTCAATAGAGAAATGTTTTCTCTAACAATCACCTTCTTGATGTCGTAAGTGCACTAGTCAAATATTCTACTAATATTAGAAGAATATAGACAAAGATGTCATCTTGGTGTAATATTCGATGGTTACTGTTACAGTTCATTGCTGGACAATTTACTATACATCATGGTGAAGCAGTTTGGCCTTTGTCCAACTCTTCTCATATACAATTACTAGGTCTTTTTCGAGACATATCATATGTATCTGAAACTACGAAAATCTCCATACATTCACACGCTATGTTTCAAGCAGCAATACTACTTTCACAAAAATACAATATAACTATCGAAGGACAATATCTAGGATGGCAAATAGCACAAACCAATGGTGATCTAATTGATGCTTTAAGCAGTGCCTGCTTAGCAATATCTACTTCGAACGTAGTTGGTATTGTCGGACCAGAACTCTCGCGAGAAGCACACATTCTTGCCGCTTTAGGAAAAGCAGTCGGTATTCCTGTTGTATCATTCTCGGCAACTGATCCTGATTTATCGAATCGAATTGCATATCCTGCTTTCTATCGAACAGTTCCATCGGATATCATCGCTGCAGCGGCAATAGTCAAATTATTCATTCGATTTAATTGGACTTCATGCATTATTATCTATCAAAATGATGTTTACGGATCCGGTGGTGCAAATGCAATTAACAGGGCATTTCTTGATAATGATTTAACAGTTAGAGAAATGCTCATGTTTGATATTGCCACGTTGAATATACGAGGTGATTTAAAAAATTCTCTAAAAACTAGTCCGACACGAATAATATTGGTATGGGCTCAACCAATGTATACATCTTTAATTGTGGAGAATGCACTGATGAACGATGTACTCGGTCCGCAATTTACATGGATATTAAGTACCAGTATTCCATTAAAATCGTTCAACTTAACCTATCGTCAAAAATTAATTGGAATGTTAAGTATCGAACCGGTTATTGGTAGTGTTGTTCACGCACCTATCAATACAACATTATTAGAAGCGGCATATAATATCTGGCAACAGTATGAACCAGAGACGTTTCCTGGACCAGGAAAAGTAGCGGACTACGCTCTCTTTGCCTTTGATGGGACGTGGTTATTGATTCAAGCATTGAACACATTTTGTTCTACGACCAATCTCAATTCTTCTTTCTGTACATCACATATTGAACCTACATATTGTTTTGATCGTCGATTTTCTGACTCTGACTTGTTTCTTCATACAGTTAGTATGACACGCTTTATTGGTGTATCTGGTCCCATGCAATTCAGTGTTAATGAAACAGATCGAATAAATGGTACATACTATTATCTAAGAAATGTACAGCCTGCATCCGATAGCATTAGTTTCGTACCAGTAGCGGAATATTTTGATCCTGATCATTGGGCAACATATGAAGGAGCGAATGTCATTATCTGGCCAGGTAATTCATTAGTACCACCTACTGGCCAAGCACTACTTGAAGGCGTTAATTTACGTATTGGTGTGGTTGAATCAACACCATTCACGATTATTACCAATAGTATTGATGAATTTAATCAGAATATTACCAAATTAGTTGGTTATGTACCTGATCTAATTGAACTTTTACGAATAAAATTAAAATTTAATCCAACGATTACATTAGCACCATCGAATCAGACGTATGCTCAATTAGTCGACGCAGTAGCCGATGGTGTCTATGATATAGTGATTGGTGATGTAACGATTACGGCTGCACGACGCGAACTAGTAGCTTTTTCTAATTCCATATTTGATAATTCTTTACGTATTGTCATGCGTAACACGCCTGCAGTTAATGTCGATCTTCTCTCGTATATGAATCCATTTTCTCGTACTCTCTGGTTGCTTATCTTGATCGGTTGTGTCTATGCTGGTCTTCTATTGAGTGTCATTGAACGACAAGAAAACGAAGCATTACGTCATAGATCGCTCATTTCTTCTGTGGCAATGAGTATATGGTATTCGTTTGGTAATCTTGTGGGTTATGGTGTAGATTTCGATGTTGCAACAGCTGCTGGACGTTTATTGACAATGGGTTTATATATGTTAAGTCTCGTATTAGTAGCCACGTACACAGCTAATTTAGCATCAGATTTGACTATATCGAAATCGAAAGACACGATTTCTGGTATTGAAGATATGAAAAATGGCAAGATACCATTCAGTCGTATTGGTATACGTCTGGGGACAGCAAGTGAAGACTTTTATCTTCGAGAGATCTCCAATGGAATTCAAAATTTTTATCCATTAAAATCTCGACAAGAACAATATAATAGTCTGTTGGCAGGTATTATCGATGCCACGTTTTTGGATGTTGGTGTAGCAGAATATATGACTAATAATATTTATTGTAATTTAACATTGGTTGGATCCGATATTGATAAGAGTGCATTTGGTATTGTCACTCCAAAACAATGGCTTTATGCACATGATTTAGATGTCAATATCTTATCATTGAGAGAAAATGGTGCACTGGATGAATTGAAACGTAAATGGTTTCAATCAAGAACATGTTCGTTATCATCCGAAATATCTACGACGATTGAAGTAGAAGCGTTAGGTGGTTTATTTCTCTCATTTGCTGTTATTACTACTCTATCATTATTATTGTTTCTGTGGTATAAACGATTCATTATCGCAAATTATCTATTATTACACTTAGGAAGAATGATCCGCAACTAGTGTGGGTATAAATGTAAAAGAACAAGAGACATACATCAATAAGTATATTTTATTTTTATTTTGAAAAAAAAAGAATCAAAATTGTCTTCTGTTCTATCGAATGTATCCTCCATAACCTCCATTATAATTATATGCATAAGGTGTATACATTTTTTCATTAGCATAACGTTCAGCAGCATCAGACCATTTTTGTAGACCTTTTTCAATTAAATTTTTTACATAACCTAAACAAATTGAAAAATTTTGAATTAATTAAAAATTGACAAAAACATATACCATTGCCGGCTTGATGACGCATTGGATAACGTTGATGTATGCTAGTAGCAAACGGATCAGTGGTGGACCATTCACTAGTATTCATGATGTGAAATCAAATGATTTGTTTTCTTTATAATGTATGTGTACTTCACGGCCGTTTTTTATACATATAGAATGTGCTCATTCATGCATTTCTATCTAATAAGTATGGCTTGGGAGATATCGGTATAGATGATATACGCTTATTTTGGTTTTTCGTTCTGTACGTCGTCAAAATTATCGAAGAGTTAAGGATGGTTGACGATTTTTTTCTTTCTTTTGAGCAATAAAATAATGTGCAAACTATGAGTCATTTCGAACAAAAGAAACTGTATACTCAAGCAGTAAAAACTAATAAAAAAATACTTAAAAATATCCAAAAATCAAACGCATCTTGAGGGTGGGTGTGACTGCTCTTTCTATTCACGTCCCACACTAACCGTCAAGATATTATTTTATTATTATCGAAGCAATTAATAAGAATGACAAATTTGAAAAGGAAATAGGTTT